TCAGCAGCACAAACATGATGCCAAACAACCTGTTGCTGTAGGCTAAAGTTGTTTCTCAGCTCTAATAAGATCCAAAAGTGTTTCTACTACAACACATACCCGCAACAGAAATATATAACTAAAAGCACTGATTCACTGATATGCTTAGATTAATCGCAAAATATAATCAAACCACGAGAAAAAACAAGTCAAACTAAAAAAATACAAAACCTAAAATAAAAATCATCAATTTGAGGTTCACTCAATTATTTTCAGCGAATTTTAATTACCAGCAATAAAACTCAGAAAAGTACGAATCAACAACTTAAATCTCTGATTTTTATTTTTTGTTGGTATGCTTTTTGCTTTCTTTGATGTCAGGCAGTTAATTTAAAATTTTGGGCGGGTTGCAGGTGTAACGACATGTCACAGTCAGATATACCCGTACGTGGATGCACCTCGTATGTGTATGTCACCAACAACGTAAATAGCGAAATAATATTGTCATTTTACCGCATAAAGTCGCGTTAAAGCTTCTTCTGTTTGTGCTACGGTAAAAGTGTGTAAAGATACACCTTAAAGCCGCACATTTGAAATTAAATCTCACAGATACTTACTGATACTGATACACGCTGATAATATAAGTTTCAAAGTAGATACACACTCGCTCGCAGCATAGCACACACCAACAGCTATAAGCAGATCAGTTCACGTCATCGTCTCCGACATCGCCATCGCCATCGCCACTATCATCTTAAGCATCGTAATGAAGAGATTAGAAATGAAATCAAAATAAAATTAAATAATTAAATGTGGCTTTAATTGCAGTGATCTCATTTCATGCTGAGGCGGTTTTACCCACAATATGTTTCTTTTCAAACTGTAATAAACTTGTGCACATTACTATGATATGTGGTTTATGGTTTGTTTGTGACATTAACAGGTGAAATTTAAGAAATAAGTACACATGTCTCAAAATTTATTAATTTAATTTAGTATTTAAAATACTATAACTGTCATGCAAATTTATGCGATTATGCTTTTTTAACAATTTTAAAAAAATTATGCTGAAATGCTTTAGACTTATTTAATAAAAGAACTTAACTTATAAAAAAAGCAACATTTTAATTTAATAACAAAATTGCTAATTTTAATTTTATTAATCGAGATCTCTATATCTCAAAACTGCAAAAATACTTTTTATATTAATTTATTGATGAATGATAGTTCGTTTGCAAAAGTTTGGCGGAATACATTTTTCTTACACATTAGTTTGTTTAACTCAAATATAAATTCGCTTTCATTTCAATCTATTATTTGTACAAATCAAAACTCTTTCCCATAACATTCTTCATGATTTTAAGATTTGTGAATAGATAGTAGGAGGTTCAACGGTTTTAATAAAAAAGCAGAAAATTGATACCAACTGATACTCAACGAACGGCAATACCATTCTTTACTCTGTTTTAGGCAAGTTAACATACAACCTTCAAATAGTTCCCACTGGATAGTTATAAACAAGTAATATTCGTTGGAGACCAGATCTGAAGAATACAAAATATGAGGGAGCAATTTGAACTGTTTTCGCATAATTCAGCAATTATTTTTTTCTCTCGATACGTGATCACTTCCTATTATCTTGAAGACAGAGCGCTTATTTTTCAATTCATTTTCATTATTCAGATCCAAAGAACAAGACTGATGGATGAGTACTTTAAAGAGCATTCATTCTTAAAATACAACAAAAATACTAAATAATGTTCTCTATTAATGGTTTTTGCGGACAAATATTTTTATTCTATAAACTTATAGGATTTATATATAGCTTATAACAATACCCATAAACTGAACTTTTGTGTCTTTAATTGCTTTAGTTAAATTTCATTCATAACAGTCCCAAGAAACTACTTGGGCTTGTTATCCCATTGTGTTGCCATATAAACCATTTCGAGCCGTTAATGCAACTTAAGAAAGTAGCAAAAAGTATTGCTTAAGCAAAAGTATTGTTACTAACAGAAAAGTATTGTTACTAGAAAGTAAGTCCTTAGGATATATAACCTGCGTGCGTAAAGCAGATATGAAAACCTTCCATAATCATCCCCAAAATTGAGATAATTTTTTTATTATATAGGAATATACAGTAGAAAAATTATAAACATATATTTAAATAAGTACAGAATGTATATATACATAATTGGAGGAAAAGTAATTAAAGAGAATTTTATAAATTGGCGATCTGTAGGTCAAACTGGAATAGATCAGAGCTTATTCTTTGTATTTGTGAGGGTACATCGAACTTACACAAGTCTGCATATGGTTGCTTACCGGAAAATTTCAAACAGTTTTTGCATGCTTTGTTTTAAAAACATATATAAAAACATATATTATTATCAAAAAGTTTTTGATTACATTGAACTAAAGTTGTAGTTTAAGCTGCTCTTTGTTTTTACCTAAAGTTTTTTCAGGAAACTTATTTCAATTAATACTTTCATTTCAACTATCTATATGATCTTAACTCATGACTTTTTAGGGAAGGTTATTAACCTATACATTATAGTATTATGTATTGCTTAATATCAAAACAAGTATTAATATTTTTAACACATACCTAAAAGTCACTTTATTAATTGATATTTCCATCATTTATTGCTGACTTATTCACTAAACAGCATCATAAAAGACGACAAATTGATGAAATCTGCACCTGTCTTAACTAAACTTCAACCATGTCCACAGCCCAACCCACGACTAACCCAGCCACATCAACTTTTTTCGCTTAAAAATAAAAAAAAGAAAAACTTATGTAGAAAGATTCCACTTTCAGCTTTCTTTATCCTTAACAACGCTTTTTATTAATAATTTATATATAGTATGTTATATTGTATTTTTTATTTTTCATTTTTTAATTTTCAATTTATTTATTTACTTTTGTTTTTGTACGACTTGTTTTGGTCGTGGTCTGAGCTTAGCCTGGAAATGTTGGCTTGTTAGGAGCCATGCCAAAAATTATTAACACTGACTCAGTTAAACGCATTTCACGTTGCGATTGAGACGCATTTTTTATGAACGAACTGTGCTAAGAGTGATACTCGAATATCATAAAAGAGTTTAGATATTATATACAAATTCATGTGTTATATATACTAAAATTTAATATGTTTATAAATTAATTTATATTTGCATTCAGTTGACGTCAATTCAGTTGAAAAGAACAGTTTTATAGATTCGTGAAATGTCTCCAATGCCATGTTGTTGATTTGCTTTGACCAAGCCTCGACTTGTTGGTTATAATTTGTCTTGATAATTGAATGATTTTGTGACACAATATTGTCAACAAATTTATTTCAACTCACGCAATTCGTGAATTCTTTAATTCTTGACGTTTCTGAAGAGGTGAACAAATAAAACAAGTAAATCGAAAAGAATTTAGTGCACTTCTTGCGATCTGAACATTTTTAAAACTGGCTCGACTACTGATTTCTTTTCTATATGCAAATTTTTGTAAAATGATTGGTTTTTCGTTTTCGCTTCAGTATCCGCATTCAGCTACTCATAAATAATATAAATCATTAACCAACTCTTGGAATATTATTGAAAATAATAATAAATTAATTACTGGAAAAAATATGCAAATTTGTATAT